TTTTATTTCCTCCTTTTTTTTTTTTTTTGAGACAGGGTTTCCCCGTAGCCACACCTGGCCTAGAACTCACTATGTAGACCAGGCTGGCCTTGAATCCAGAGATCCCCTGCTCCTGCCCCATCTGTCCTGGAACTATGTAGAACAGGCTGGCTTTGAACTTAGAGATCTATCTGCCTGCCTCTGCAGGGATTAAAGGCTTGTGCTTTCACTTTCATTAGCTTTTTTTAAACATTTTTTTTTTTTTTTTTTTTTTTGGTCTTTTTGAGACAAAGTCTTCCTGCAGTCCCAGCTGATCTGAACTCACTATGTAGACCAGGCTGGCCTTGAACTCACAGCTATCTGCCTGCCTCTGCCTCCCGAGTGCTGGGACTAAAGGCATGCACCACCACACCCGGCAATCTCTCTTTTAATTCTTGTAAAAGCTAAATTAAGTAAATTTTTTAGTCTGCATTTGCTAATTGCAGTTATCTGAATCTTTGCTGCAAACTGATTCTGCATATTTCTGTTTCTTATTCCATAACTGCATGTTTGGTGCTGCTGTAAAGGGTTTTACTGTTGCTGTTAATTCAGTCCCTTTTGGCTTGATCTGCAGGAAGTCTTTAAGTCTGTTGGTTTCCGTAGATAGGGACCAAAGCAGCTGGTGCTGGTATACCCGCACTACTAACCTAGAGTCATTTATTCTGCAATCAGTCAGAAAAGCAGTGAACAGTAGCAAAGAAACTTAGGCAGATGGCTCTTATGATAAAGAATTATTCATCACAGAATTACGAATTAAGAATGGTTGAGTAGCTAGAGAGATGGCTCAGTGGTTAAGAGTGCTTGCTGCTCTTGTGGAGGACCTGAGTTCCCAGCACTCATGCGGTGGCTTACAACTGCCTATAATTCCAGCTCCAGGGAATCGGCGAGCCTCTTCTGGTCTCTACAGCACTGTACTCACACATGTGTGCATACATACACACACACACACACACACACACACACACACATAAACAAATAAATAAATAAAATATTTTTTAAAAGATTTTATTCTTAGTGGTGTGCGTGCATGCGTGCGTGCGTGTGTGTGTGTGTGTGTATGAATGAGTGCATTGCCTGCATGTATATGAGTGCACCTGTGTCATGCAATGCAGCAGAGGTCAGAAGAGGGCATTAGATCCCCTGGAACTGGAGTTAAGGATGGTTCCTAGCTGCCATGTGGATGCTTGGAATCGAACCTGGGTCCTCTGCAAGAGCAGCCAGTATTCTTAACTGCTGAGCCATCTCTCCAGCCCATCTATAGATTTTATAAAGCTTATACTTTAATCTAGTTAGACAAAGAGAAATGGCCAAGCTATATTGAGCACATACTCACTTTAAGAAATTCAAAATAAAGGCTGGGCCTAATTTTCTTAACTGCTGAGCCATCTCTCCAGCCCATCTATAGATTTTATAAAGCTTATACTTTAATCCAGTTAGACAAAGAGAAATGGCCAAGCTATATTGAGCACATACTTTAAGAAATTCAAAATAAAGGCTGGGCCTAATGGCACATGCGTTAATATCAGCACTTGGGAAGCAGAGGCAGGCAGATCTCTAAGTTAAGCCAGCCTGGTCTACATAGAGTTCCAGGCCATCTAGGCCTACATACTAATATTTTCAGTTTTTAGTCTAATTAAGGTTACAAAACAATAGCCATCATTTAATGAACAGTTAGTATTGCCAGTATTACTACTCAGCATGGTTCATGGATTATCTTACTAATCTTCATGATAACAAGACTATGATCCCCACTTGCTAAGTGCCCCATGGCAAGTAGGCAGTACAGTTTGAAGTGAACCTAAGCAATCTAACATCTAGGAAAGGACGGACAACTCTACTGCTGCCAGGGCAGAAGAGAGGAAATGAGATCACTCAAGACCCCATGTCAACCGCCAGCTATGGTAGGGGTTGTTGAGGACATCAGACTAGGCTTATGGACAGGCCTTCTTAATGCTTTCTGTCCAGAAATGCCCCTAGAATAGAAATCTAGTCAAGAAGAAGCCAACTGTCAACCCTAGCCAGGTTCAAGGCTATCTAAGCTTTCCTTTACTTCCTACTTTATACTTACTATCCATTAGCCAAGTCTCAGCTATCCTTGAAGACACTGCTGGCAAAACCTCCCATGACTACCCTACAAAACACAGAATTTACTATTCATAGGAGAGGGTCAGAAAGGCCTTCAGCCACACCAAGTAATGTCCACTGGTTACTTTCTTATGGTCAATATGGTATGCTTTCTACACAAAGTATCTCTTGAAAAGTTCACCTGTTGAGGGCTTGGTTCTTGGCTGGTAGACTTAATTATTTAGAGGTGATTGGATCAGGAGAATTCTGACTTCATCGGTGAACTGATCCACACATTAGTTTATAGCTGAATGAGTTATAAGGAAGTGGGACACTGGGGATGTGCCCTTAAAAGCTGTATCTGTTCCCAGTTCCTTCCTGTTTTGTTCTGTTTCCTGGCTGTTTTCTCTATCAATCACTCACCACCATGACATTCTGCCTCATCTCAACTATGAACCCAAAGAATATTTCCTCCTTTGTTTCTCTTCGGTACTTGTCACAGAAATGAAATCAAATACACTATGGCTGCTTTTTCTCCATGGCAGAGTTGATTATATATGAGACACTATGGCTAACATGACTAAAACATTAAATAGGCCTCTAGTTATTATGTATGTTTGATTGGTATTATCACTCTGAATTCATCTATGATTTGTAGCTTATTATTAACATGGAATTATGTTTTCCTTCCCAAATACAATACAAAACCTCTCAGCCAGAATTGTTTATTCGGCCTATGACTCTCCTACAGCTCTTAGTTCAGTGCTGTACACATAGCAGTTACTCTTAAATTTCTCTGAAATCACTTACTCAGCATTAGTCAGCAACAATCTTCTCCCTAGCCTCATGTACTTTATAGGGCTTATGTGAAACCAGGCATCAGTTTGTTTTTTTTTTAAGTTTATTTTATTTTTTAAAATTCTTTTAAATTTAATAACCACATGATTAGAAGAAGCATTTCATTGCAGCTTTAACATTTTCAGTGGGGATTTTAACTGAGGAAGGGAATAATGTAGAAGGAGATAGAGGAAGGGGAGATTAGTACCAACAAGAATGTCTGGAAAAGTCATAGGGAAAGGTATTATTTTATAATCTTACTTAATATGCATGTAAAATGTGTGTGCACACACATAATAGATATAGGCCCTCTATCAAAAGTTCCAGTGCCTGGCATGGGAAACCTCCCTCCAAGTAGTTAGCCAGGGTAGGCAAAGAGACTCTTCAAACAATATAGACTATTGCCATTGCCTTTGGTTGCCTCCCAGAACCTGAAGGAAAGGCCTTATTGCTGAAAACCTATAACTGCCAATTTCCTAAACCAATATAATTAATACTTAGAAGAAACATTTCATTACAACAGCATTGACATATTCAATAACAATTTTCTAAGCTAAGACATATCTCTTTCAAAAGTGGGTGCAAGTTTCTAGGTTCACAGTTGAATTAATACAGTTACACAATTTTAAACTCAGTATAAGCCCTGTAAGACATTAAACTGAATGAGTTTTTAACCTTGAAAATAAAATCTCCATTTCATTTTAGAACATATTGTTCGTTGCAGTGAGACTCATTGTTTTTGCTACTAACACTGAGATGTTGGAGCATGCATCTCTAATCTGTATGTAGCT